AAAAACAAAAAAAAAAACCCAAAAAACAAAGGCCGGGAGATGGTAAATTTCACACCAAGCATCATCAGCGGCCACTGCCCCTGGGTTTCTTCCTCTGGACCATCCAGCCCCGCCTCCACCCACCCTCACCTTGTTCTTGGCCTCCTCCTCCAGCCGCCGCCGCTTGTCCAGGGTCTTGGTGGCCGTGCTGCCCGCCCCAGGTGCAGTGCCAGCCTGCTCCTCCTCCGCCTTGGCCATGAGGAAGCGGGCCTTGTCGTGGTCCTCACAGCGCTGCACGTAGCCCTGCTTTGCCTTGCGCAGGTTAGCCTCCGCCTCTTGCTGTGGGTGTGAGGGCCCGGAGGTGAGTTCCAACCCCGTCCTCTGACGGGACGCAGTCCCTGCTACTCCCGTCCTCCCCACCCCCATCTCTCACACCAAGACCCCGTGGCCCAGTGGGGCATGCAGAGGACCCTGCCCAGTGATCGAAAATGGAAGAACAGGAGGAGGGCCGGGCACGGTGGCTCACGCCTGTAATCTCAGCACTTTGGGAGGCCGAGGCGGGCAGATCACCGGAAGACCAGCCTGGCCAACATGGTGAAACCCCATCTCTACCCAAAATATAAAATATTAGCCGAGGGTGGTGGCATGCAGCTGCAATCCCAGCTACTTGGGAGGCTGAGGCCCAAGAATGGCTTGTACTCAGGTTGCAGTGAGCTGAGATTGAACCATTGAACTCCAGCCTGGGCAACAGAGCAAGATTCCATCTCAAAAAAAATAAATAAAAAGCCAGCCACGATGGCTCAAGCCTGTAATCCCAGCACTTTGGAAGGCCGAGGCGGGCAGATCACCTGGGGTCGGGAGTTCAAGACTGGCCTGACCAACGTGGAGAAACCCCATCTCTACTAAAAATACAAAATTAGCTGGGTGGAGCATGTCTGTAATCCCAGCTGCTCAGAGGGCTGAGGCAGGAGAATCGCTTGAACCTGGGAGGCAGGTTCAGTGAGCCGAGATCGCACCACTGCACTCCAGCCTGGACAACAAGAGTGAAACTGTTTCAAAAAAAAAAAGAAAGGCTGGCCGGGCGCGGTGGCTCACGCCTGTAATCCCAGCACTTTGGGAGGCCGAGGCGGGTGGATCACGAGGTCAAGAGATCGAGACCATCCTGGTCAACATGGTGAAACCCCGTCTCTACTAAAAATACAAAAATTCAGCTGGGCATGGTGGCGCGTGCCTGTAATCCCAGCTACTCAGGAGGCTGAGGCAGGAGAATTGCCTGAACCCAGGAGGCGGAGGTTGCGGTGAGCCGAGATCGCGCCATTGCACTCCAGCCTGGGTAACAAGAGCGAAACTCCGTCTCAAA